TAGACCAGCATCCAAAGAGCTTTTCATGCTCATTCAAGGGCTTCCAGTCCCAATTCCCTTGTTTCTAATGCGTAAAATCTAAGTTGCCATGCATAAAACAGGATTACATATTTGACAAAGGCCGTTGATAGATCAATACTGTCATGCATCCCAACTCTGCTTCTTGCTGACTGATCATCACATTAGCCTGCTCAGCACATGCCCAAAGCAGATTTTTGTCTTACGTCCTCTCCCGTTCTTCATCTGCATGCTGTAAGTAGATAGTCCCGCTCTGTTCCTTCACAGACTCCTCCAGGGGGGTCAACAAGTCTTCAAGCTCCTTCTGCTGTGACAGAATGAAGTCTAGTTCCTGATCCAGCCTGAAAAGAGAAAATGTCAACTACTCCACTTAAAGGTTACGTACATTGTAGATCTGACACACCACAACGCAACAAGATGCAAAAAAGAAACAAAACCATCTCAAGGGTTCATCATTTCATACCTCTTCTGATCAAGCTTCACTTTCTCTACTTCTCTGTGTAATGAAGTAATCTGGAAACAGAAGACACTTAATTATACTACGAAAATTCAAGAGTCCACCCATAAAAGAAAAATGCTGGAACTGAGAAAGCCAGCGCTATACAAACGTCTACTAGAAACAAGAAACAGTTACATAAAGATTTACAGACCAAAAATAGAATAACGGAAGGTTGGCTTTGAAAGCTTCACCCTAAGATAACTTGTTATCATAGTGTAATCTCACAAAACAGATTTCCAAGCGTCAATGCCTATAGAGCAGAACAGACACACAGTGAGGCTTTCACAAGCATCCAGATATCATTCACATCTATTTTTTTACAAGTAGAAAGTCCCAGTGGATTTCTGCATTTATAACACTGAAGGATCTAAGCAAGCAAAACCAGGTTACACTGGATGTCACCTTACCTTCTCTCCATTCTCTATCAGCGTCCGATCCCAGGCATTAACTTGCGTAGCTTGATGGAGAAAGTGTTTCTCTTGGTCTTCCAGTTCCAGACTCCACTTGTTGATCAAACTTTCCAGCTGGGCATAAGTCATCACTGGAGGTGCGCTGAGAGGAAGTGCAAGACAGTACAGAACAGAAGATCAAAAAACAAACTATGAACATGACAACACTCATTTCCCCTTCCTCCACCACATACCAGCATTACTACTGCCTCTTGGCCCAGTTGGGAAATAGTCAGCTGTAACAAAATACTCACCTGGTTGCTGTGGTGGTGGTGATGGCAGCTGTAGAAGTCACAGCTCCAATGGCACCAGTTGTAGTTAATGGCTTAAGATTCAAAGCAAAGCCAGAAGAAGTAGTAGTGCCTGAAAGAAGAGATTCAAGTCAAGCAACACAAGAGGACACATCTGCTATCTAACAAATCGCGAACACGTCCAATATACACTTCTAAGCACCGCACTGTGTGAGCTCAAATAGGTCCCTCTGAAGGGACAAAAAGCAAATCCCACGTGTGCCAAGAGGGGAATGAAGCAGGTCTTGACACAAAAGTAATGGACTGTAAGTGCCTGACTGGTAGCTCTAGTAAAATGAGGCACTGGCAGCCTGCACTGAACCTGGGCATTATTCAAAGAAACACAGCATTAGCCCACGCACCCCTGTCAATCTCCTTGTGTTTTAATATTAGACCTAATGACTACCAGCACACCCAGTTCCCCTCCTGCATCTTTGCAGAAGATGAGATTTCTGTTTTCACAAAGCTAAGAGCACCTATCGGATGGTAGTGTCAACCAGTCACACGGCACTTCTAGGCTCAGTGAGCTCAAATTCTTCACAGTCACTCCAGAAACAAGCTTTAGAAAGGCCTTGAGAGCTGAGCAGCATCCATGTTATTTCACTGAAAACTGACTGGTAACTGCATCCAGACAGGGATGTTCAGTCCTGAAAATCCCAACACTGTGCAGCACCAAATTCCACTGCAGATTTTCACATGAGGGTTGCCACTTAAACACAGCACTCATTTCTGGTTGGTTTTTTGGGGGTTGTTTTTTTGTTGTGTTTTTTGTTTGTTCGGTCAATTTT